AGTGTATAAAATAAAAAGATATTTATTGATGCATGTCAATGCGACAATTTATGCACAATTCCGTCAATATTTCTAAATTTACAATTTTGCTTAAAGCTCCTAATATTCTTCTTGTGGCAACAACTGGTAACATTGTATGAAGAGTAATTGAAGAAAGATATAGAAAATTTGTTCCTGTTTCTCGCAGGATATAGACACTCGATTCATAATTAAGGAACACCGATCTTGCCAGATATACATAATCATTAACTATTAAATAATTCAAGATAACGGCTTATATTTGAGCAATGCATATACCGTAACCTTGTCTCTGTACTTCAAACTCGAAGTTCCAAAATGTATACGTAGTATATTATTATTATATAATTAAGAAGAGAGATATAGAAGACAATCGGATGCCAGTACGATGTAACTTTACTCACTTACTTGTTTGATACACAAATTTAAGCTAGTTGTGCTTTCACTTTCATTGACGACTCTTGAACTAAAAGGTTTGGATCTCTGACTCAATTCAGCAAAAGTTTCACCTCTTTCCGCGATAAACAACTATAATAATTAAATGGCAACATTTTTTTTTTAAAGTTTAATATAAATCTTTTTATTAAATTTTTATTGTGAATTTTTATGCATCACTTCCCCGAACCATTATGTACCATTTCCAATTTAATACTTTAAATCTCTACCATCTTTTAATAATCAAACATCCGCTCTTTATCAATTGTGCGTAGAAACTTATCTACTAAAAACTGATTTCACCAACATCGCATTTTATCTAATGATATTACAAATATTTTAAAATAGTGAACCAAGCAATTACTGGCACACGTAATGATTAACATTAATATAATACATAAAGTGGTGCTAAACATTCGTTACCAGTGTCTCATATATATGATGCGCTCGATTCTCGCGACAGATGCAAGACAGCGAAAATTTTATATTCTATATTTCATTATGATAAATAAAGTCTATCTTATCGCATAATCTAAAAACACGTAAGTAACATGCATGACTTAAGATTTTGAGTATATATTTCGAAGATAAATATACTCGATAAATATACTTCAAAAATAGTTTTTATAAATATTACATAAAAATTGATTTATTATTTTAAAGTAGCTTGATGTATATAGCGAGAATCTGAAAATTTAGCGTGGTAACAAACGCGCGCACGCACGATATTAATCTACAAAAAGAGGAAGAATCAGTTAAATCATCAGATAATTGGATTTAAAATCGTTGGTGAAACATTCTAAGAATAAAGTACACTTACATATGTATATTATCAATCATTACGTAAATGGCAAAAACACACGCGATATCCTATCCTACTATACAAGAACACTCCAAATTTTATTTTCAATTTCACTCGGTGAACCGCTATATAGACGATGTCTCAAGCAAAACAAAACGCCAATTTCCATACTATGCTGAAACTTTCCTGAATCACATTACTTTATAATTCTAAAACCAGATTATCTTTACGAATAACTGGCGAATATAAAGCCACAAAAGAACAAAAAAAAAAAAATCTCCCTCTGAAAAGTAAATCATTTACTACTTTGTTAATGATTTACTTTTAAATTAATGATTTATTTTACAGAGTGAGGTTAGGTTTCATTCTTCTATGCTTGATATTTGCTATTCGCGATTTCGGACAAAAGTTTATCCCTGATCATTTGAACAATGGCTTGTTGTATTTGAGTACACGAAATTTATGTTCGACATTTTTCTTGTCTCACTTTGCATTTCTTATAATGTAGAACGCCCAATAATATTCAGCGAAGCACAAAATTCATACCGTCTCTGCTAGGAATGAGTAAAAAGGGAAAGACACAAATGGGCTTTCTATTTATTTGATTTGCAGCTCCGTTAATCTTGCTTATTGGTCAGCAATGCTTCCGCTGCAGTTTTGACTGCTATAATAATAACACGTGTTTTTATACGTTTCTATTTTTATCAGAAACAAATAATTTTCTGATGCAACATTCACTTTTTATTTTTTTTAAGGAAGCTAGATTATTTTTGTTAAAAATCATCATTTTTACCTGTGTCACGTGCATTGGACAAAAGTCTGTCTAATCCAGGCTGATACTGGATGAACTTTGGACGGATGATACGTCGATACAGAATCAAGGAACCATTATACTCGGTTGGTGCCATCAACCATACGTAAAATATACACTGTACCATAAATAAATGATTTATAACATTTACTATTGCCAATATCTGTCTTTAAAAACAATATCTTTCAAGTTTTGTACCTTGAATAGCCAATAGACAGGGAACCAACAGACGATATATTCAGAAAAGAACTCTACTATAGTAAATATAGCGAAAACGACCCAATAAGTGAGCCACTTTGTGTCATCCTCTTTCTTGGAGCTTTCCAACGCCTTCATAGATTCGTATGCAGGATAAACGAAACCAACTATATTACATACTAGCTGTTGTCCTAATCCAAATACCAGGTATAAGGCCAGCAGTACCAATGAGCCTATCGATAAATGAAAATAAATAAATAATAAGTATGTGTGTAATATATTCTTATTCAAATTACTCCAATTTATATAACATATATTCTTCAAAATATGTTCTTGTACAAATTTAAAGTATTATTATTTACAGAAATTCGCGTAATGCGTAATATAAGGTAGAATGAAGCGAGACGCTTGTCACGCGGTTATACTATGATCCGAGGGCAAAGATCAACAGGTTGCAGATTTTCGGAAGGAATGTGAAACGCGTATTCTCATCATACAGAATACGAAGCAACGTAATACGAAGGAAAAACAAGAGAGAAAAAAATATTGCGTAACGAATAGCGTACGATAATGACTCGTAGGAAAACCGCAAGCTTGCATTGATATCTGTACGCGAATAATAATAATCTAAATGTATGCGGTATAAGCCGGCCTCCAATCAATGGAAATGACTGGAGATCCTGGCGTTCGTAATTGCTCTTCATGGAGCAACTCACCGACAAAGATGTAAAGTCGATCGACGCCGATCTTCTGTTCCGCGAAGGCGAACATTTTTACCCATGGCTTGTTCTCGTCCTTCAACGCCTTCTCGAGATATTCCTTTACGGCGACGATCCGGGCCATCTTTTTTTTTCCTATGCAAAGAGCTCTCGATCAACAAAACTGTGCGTATGCAGCGTTGACCACGGATCGTACACCTGTTCGTCACTAGAGAAAGATATGGCCGTCGTTCGATGTTCGATGTCGACCGATCGATTTTTCTATTTTCTCTTTCGAGTTCTCGAGACTGTTCGACTGCATTCGTTCTATACCGGCAAATTGTCCAGTATATATAGACGCGTGACTTAGCGCGAGACACTATCGTGTCTTTTGATTTTGCTAAATTGTGTGATAAACAGATATTAATTAAACAAAACTAATAAAAAAAATTTTAATTTTTTTTACAGCTTTATTTTCTTATTAATAAATGACTCCTAGGCGTACTATAAAGGAAGTCTTCTCTTCGTGGTAATTTATATATCAGAAATAAATTAGTCAATAAATAAATTTAATCCCCCAAATTATATTACATCGAAGTATGGATTTTCTTTTTAATATACAGGTTGTTTGATAATTGTAACGTAAAATGTGTGTATGTATCCATGAAGTATTGAGATTAACATGTTGATACAAATTGCACTTGAATCAATGTATCTTATAAATATTCGTTCTGCTTTTTGATAAAATAATAATATACATTTTGAATTAAAGAATCGTTTGCGAAGCATGTACATCTCTATACAACTAATCTGTAAATCTATGAACGTCTTGAAGAGTGGCACGTGACTGTAAAATATATACAATATTTTAGGAGACAGTCCTTGAGCAATTTCAAGCATTTACAGCTGGCCCTAGTCTCATGTGTGATAGAGGATTAAATGGGGTCGTATTTCGAATTTCTTTTTCTTGACACGTCGTATAAATGTCGGCAGTAAGCTCGCTCAGTGGAATCTCTTTGTCGTTCTTGGCGGCCTTTACGGCATCGTCCACTGATTTTCTGATTTCGCCTTCTATCGTCTGTAACAGGAAAAGGCGATATGTATTTACTTGGATCGATTAAACTAACAAGAAAATAAATTTCTCTCTCTAATAACTCATGTTAATTTTTAATTGTAAAATCTCTATAAAAAAATATTGACTGACTTTGATTTCATCTGCAGTGACGAGATTAGCATTCAGAATTCTTTCCTTGAAGCTGGTTAGAGGATCCCGAGTCTGCCGGACTTCCTGCACCTCGTCTCGCGTACGATAGCTAGTTCCAGGATCCGACATACTGTGTCCACTGTACCTGTATGTCACGGTTTCCATGACAATTGGTCCTTTGCCAGATGTGCAGTGTTCTATCGCGAATCTTGTAGCTTCTCTCACGGCTAATACATCCATACCATCTACCTGTACGAAGTATTTTAACGATAAATTTTGTCGATAAGATAAAATGAGAAAAAGAATTTCTTTTAGGAAAATAAATGATATACCCATATTCCAGGAACATAATCGCCTCTGGTGTAATATTCTGTGCTTGCCGCGGCACGCTCCACGCTGGTACCCATTCCATATCCATTGTTCTCACAGACAAAGATGCAAGGTACGTCCCACAGCTTTGCCATGTTATAGACTTCAAATACTTGTCCCTGATTGGCTGCACCATCACCATACAATGCTAGACAGACCCCGCCATTATTCATGTATTTTTGTGCAAAGGCGATTCCAACTCCCAGTGGCACCTATAATGCAAAGGAGAAATATTTAAAAAATTGTACATTAACACAGAATATGTATTATATTTCATTTTACAATTAAGAACCGACCTGAGCCCCAACAATACCATTTCCTCCATAGAAGTTCTTAGTATACATGTGCATTGAGCCACCCTTGCCTTTGGCATTGCCACCTTGTCTACCTGTGAGTTCTGCAAGGACACCAAATGGTTCTATGCCCATCAAATAGGTCCATCCATGTGCACGGTAAGCTGTAATTACAGCATCTTGAGGCCGCATTGCAGCTTTCATGCCAACTGCACAAGCTTCCTGTAAGAGACATAAAAGTATAAGAGGATTGAAGTAATTTTGAAACGAGTATGTGTGGAAAAAAGAGAGCACACAAGATAATCCTTACTTGTCCAGAATACAAATGACAAAAGCCCCGAATAATCTTTTCCTTGTACAAGTTGCCAGCAGCTGTTTCTATACGACGTATCATATGTAGGTGCTTAAATAACTCGATAGCATCATCCCGAGTCACTGTAACTTGAGTGGATGGCCCTTGTGTCAGTTTGTGCAGACGGAAAGGTTTAGTCTCGAAGGAAGCTTCAGTTGCATAGTTACTTTTTTTGCTAAAGAAAAATGAGGCCACCTGAAAATTTATTTTATTCAGCATTTATTAAACTTTACTTATTGAGCTTGCATGAAAATGACAAAATAACATTATGACACGTGCGTCAATGTGAAGTATACATTATTTTGCGACTCAGTGTGATGATATTTCTTAAAAGTTCAGAATTCTGAACTTTCTCATTAACATCAATTGCCAAATGATCTTGAAAATTCAAATTATAAAAATAGCAGCACCATTTATAAAAAGCTGCAGCACAATCGAATCGCGAGTATAGATAATTACCTCGTTCCAGCTTCCAAACTGACAAGAGTATGCGAAATAATGAGGAAAGAAGAAGACTCATAAAATATAATGTGTCGTACAAGTAAAGGAAAATACAAGTCTGGGATTCATAACGAGACTTTGATACGCAAAGCGCGATATTGCAAATTAGAGGTCACACGATGCTCGTCACTCGCATGCACTTACGTTTCGTCGTGATGATTGCGCGGCGACGTTCCTGATGCAGCTTGGTATCATTTTCTTTTCGAGGAAGAGGAAAACTTTGAATAGGAAAGAGTTTGCGCCTCGCAGAGTCAAGTCAAGGTGCCTTGTTGTTACTTGTCCTCGAAAATGACCTGCACCTGACGCGGACCAGCGTGGATTAAACACTGAACAGCTGGTCACAGGTCACAGATTACAGATGATATGAGAAAATGCAGCTGGTGTACAAACGACTACACCAAAGTACAGAGGGTACTTTGTGTAATACTTTGTTTTAAATATTCTGCTTTCAATTTTACTTTATGTTCAATTTTTATCTCATGTTATGGTTATTTATTGTATTGTGTAATGAAAAAATTTTTATTATATAAGATGACATTTATTATGGGTCCCGCGTGTGCCTCGTGAATTTTTCACCCGACGACCAATAGCGAATGGTCACGTGACCGAAAAGAAAAAGTGAGACCTATTTACACTTTCTAAGGTACGTTCAAAAGTTCTACTTATAAGGTAAAGTAGCGTTTAATTGACCAATGAGAGCACAAAGAAATCTTTATTCCTTTTGTCCTGATTGGTCAATTAAATACTACTCTATCCTACGAGTAGGATTTTTGAACGCATCTCTATACATCAGACGTAATATGTGTGTGACACATAACCATATGATTCTTCAGACCGCGCGTTTTTCTTCAAGGTATGGAAAACAATGAAAAGTAAGTATTACTTAGATACTTTTTTCTTTTTTTTCATAATCATTATTGACGATAACATTTTGTCTTTTGTGTATGATTGTGATTTATTATGTCTTTTGTGATCTACTGAAATAAGTAAGATTTTATAAAATTTCAGAAACACGAGTTGAAGATTTCGTAAAGAGATGGAGGGCGATGATTCGCGTAAATATAACCGAAAAATTGTCTCCTTCAAAGATTTTGACAGATTTAAATTGGAAGAGAAAAAATACGACGATACTTCTCTCAACATATATACAGCGAGACTGAACGATTTGAGAGAAGATACACTACATAAAGCGAAATTAAAATGGAGTAAGTCATATTTGTATATTCTCAAGACCTTTTCTTGCTTATCACGTATATTATCTACATTATTCTACTTGCCTATGTTATAGCGAACTATTCATATACAGAGGTCTCATGCTTAGTCTTGGAAAATCCAGAAAAATCTTATATTCTGATAGGAATACTATATAAGGATCAGAAGCTGAAACCTTCTTTACTGCGTGAACTCAGCAAAGAGCTGCAATTGGAAGTTCAATCGAATAAAAATTATGCATCAGCTGATGACAAATTATTTCTGGAGGATGAAACATTACGTATAAGATTAGTGGGAAATCATATAAACATTCAAGAAGTAGTTACAGGACTCGTCTGTGCCATACTAGGACATGAATTAGAAAATGGAACATTCTGGGTATATATTACATAATTAAGAATTAAAGATGGGAATATAACATACTGATGTAAAACTTTGTTTTTAGGTGGAGGACTGGTGTTTTCCAGGATATTGCCCGAAGCCTTGTATATCAAGTGGCTCATTGGTGGAAAATGCAAAAATTCTGCTAATTTCTGGATTAGATCTTGTTAATAACACAGATCAGCTTAGCCTAGATTTACTTTCGGAATGGATAACTGGAATGGCAGGCTGCATTAACGTGCAAGAGGAAGAAGCGATAATTGCTAGAGTCATCATTGCTGGTAAGAAAGCTAAAGCATATTTTCTGATTGGCAGTACCTTCATGTATAAATAATGAAATGTTTAGGAAACACCATTCGTGGTTCTACAAAGATATATTATCACAAAGGTTACCAGGAAACAAAATCATATGATCAACTCAAAATCAAAGAAGACCTAATAGCGATGCATAAACTTGACAGTTTTCTCAGTAATATCCTCCATTGTTGTTGTGTCATGCTGATGCCCGGAGAATTTGATCCTGCCTGCAATTATAGTATGCCTCAGCAACCTTTCCATCCATGTACTCTGCAAAAGTCGGCCAGGTAGCAGCGATATGTTTGCGGCCTGTCAAGAGCTTCCTCCATTACATAATACTATTCAGATATAACGCAGGTTTAAGAGCATGTATGGTGCGACTAATCCGTGGATCGGAAATATCGGAGGTCGTGTCATAGCCGGTTCTTGTGGCGGACCGATCGTGGATATCATGAAAATCGCTGGATTATCCCAACTGTCTCCATTAGAGTGGATGGAACGAACCTTGATCTGGCGACATTATGCTCCAACTGGTCCAGACACGCTTCCAATTCATCCATTCTTCAAAAATGATCCGTTCGTTATGAAGGAATGCCCGGATATATATTTTGCCGGAAACATGGATAAATACGATACGAAATTAATTACAGGTAAGGGAATATTTTTTTATCTAATTTTTGATCAGCTCTTTTATTCGCGGGATAATTCATGTATACCGAATGTGTAGCTGATGAGGGGCAAATGATAAGATTGATATGCGTTCCAAAGTTCTCGGAATCAAAGACAGCGGTGCTAGTCAATTTACAAGACCTGACGACACAGCCTATATCATTTGGTGATGGCTGATAGAATTTGTATTATATTATTTAAAAGGTAAAATAATCGTTTATCGTATCAGGGAAATTATGATAACAAAGTATCCAAAAAATAAAATGTACATAATTTTCATATAAAAAATAGAAATCAATATAAAACTTTACAGGATCTCTTTAAATATATAATTAAATTTATTGATCTGAATATATATATATA